CATTTTACCAAATGTTCAGTCCTACTTTCCCTCTGTTCTTCTATAATGTTTTTGGCTATTTCACATGGAGACGTACGTTGCTCGATGAACGCACGCAGTGAGCGTGATCTTGACGAAGTGTTGATGCGCACTAAAACGCCAAATTTATCTTCACAGTGCAGAAATAACCTAGGGAGCTCTGTAATGTGCATGCTCAACTCCTACGACTACAAAGCCTAATTCTTTAGAGTATTCAGACTACAATGATCCCAAGTTATAAAGCTGATATCCCATCACACGGTGCATGAGTATACCAAACCACGGCTGTCCTAAATAGAAAATTGATTTATAGCGTAAATTATAATTTTAGTGGCGAAGCTCCTAAAGCCGCGGGTCTGTTCATGCATGTCTCTTTGTAATCGGTTCGTAACGACCTAGTTGTGTGGCTCATTCAGAAGGTAGCGCTAGCGTCAGTGACGGACAGAAAAACAGAGAGATATACAGATGGACGGACGGATGGATGTATAGATGGACAGACAGACAGACAGACAGACAGACACACAGACAGACAGACAGACAGACAGACAGACAGACAGACGGACGCACGGATGGATGGATAGATGAACGGACACTCGGACGGACGCATGGATGGATGGACCTGTTTTCGATGACTCCATCGTGCCAGACGTTTTCCAAACACGCACTCAAATGTATCCATATGAAACCTACCAAGATCCGAGAGACGTACATAGACTTAGTGTTTATAAATTTCACACTGCAGCCAGTACAAAACTTCTCTCGCTTTATTTCACGGACCGTAAATACGTAATAATGAAGAAACCTACCAATCCAGCCGCCATGACAACGAAAAAATGAAAAGATCAAGCGAAGGAACGGAACAACAAACAAAGAAGAACAAGTTTAAAAGTTGATTTGTATAACGCATGGACAATCTTGCGTCTTTTTAATGATGTAATGGACTAACTTTTTACGGCGCAGTTAACGGCTTAGCGATGATATCCTCCTCTAGAGCTTCGCTCCACTTATCATTATTCATTCCGTGGATATGGCCCTATTTCTTCAAGTCTTTCTACGTTTTTTTCAGCCTTTAATCAAGTTGTGAAATGACACAATTTCATCACCTTACAATAACCCCTGGAGTCAGCAAAAAAGGCGCCGAACCCGTAAATGAGGTTAAAGTTTTAAAAAAGTGCTCAACGATATTGAGCACTTGGTACTCCCTGATGGGAGTGCAGAAACCCGCTCTCAAGAAGCTGCAAGTGCAGCCCTAAGCCCTTAGGCCGCAATGGGAACAACATGCACGTGATTGCATTTCGTGTTTAGCAAAAAATGTTCGACGATTTAGAGTACGATGCTTCAAGGGAGAGCAATTAGCTGCCCCAGTTTCAAGAATAAGATGCCGTCTACATTGAATGCACTTGATAATACACCTAGAAGGTAAGATTTGTGTTTAGAAAAAGTGGTTAACGATTTACAGTACTTAGGGATACATCCCTAAGGTTGGTTTCACTGCGTATATGGTAGGGTATCGAATAGCGGATGTAAAAAACAAAAAAACAAATTAGGCCCTCAAGGTGCACCGGCTACATGCGTTTATGTGTGTGCCGCTTACAATAATCGGAGCTCTCTTGATTGTGAGCTTGTTGGTGATCTCCGATATCTGATACGACAACCTGACATTTATCGAAGTTACTCGTTAGTTCCCGCTGCCACATTTAATAGTTACTGTTTCATCCCTACATTTTACTGTTTTCGCGTATCAGCATCATAGTTGCTTGTAACAGCAGAAGTGTTGCGCTGCTAATTACGTGTTGGGTAGGTTCTATTCTTGGCATGGAGAATATAGGTGGAAAGAAAAAAAATAAAAAATTATATATATATATATATATATATATATATATATATATATATATATATATATATTCATTCAGCTTCTCTTCGCTTTGTGTACTCGTCAAGCTTGTTCTCTAGTCGTCTATGTGTGTCATCGAGGAGCACATCTGTTTCTCTCTCCACACACAAACGCACGTAAGTACGTTTCTTGTTTGCATGTAGTTGAAAACGATATGAAAAAAGGTCTGCGAAAAATGTGGCTTATGAAAAAAAAGGGAAAATGCGGCATATCTGTGTGTCTACCCAGCCATTGCTTTCTTTTTTTTCTGTCACTTTCGTATATATATATATATATATATATATATATATATATATATATACGAAAGTGACAGAAAAAAAAGAAAGCAATGAGCAATGGCCAGGTAGACACACAGATATGCCGCATTTTCCCTTTTTTTTCATAAGCCACATTTTTCGCACACCTTTTTTCATATCGTTTTCAACTACATGCAAACAAAGAAACGTACTTACGTGCGTTTGTATGTGGTGGAGAAACAGATATGCTTCTCGATGACACACATAGACGACTGGAGGGCTATCTAGACGAGTACAGATAGCGAAGAGAACCGGAATGAACGAATGAAGCGCAAAGACGGCCCGAGACCTGCTTCACGTTAGTAACAATGATTATCGGGGTTTTTAGATCTGAAAACCATTACATCGTTAGACGCCGTATAATAAATGGCCTGATAGCCGCTTCACGTTAGTATAATGATTATTGGTGTTTTTATATGCAAAAATTGTAACATTGTTATGAGGAAAACGTATAGCGGAAGAGTCGAGAAACTTTGGCCAGCTGGGGTTCTTATATGATTCTCAAAGGGAAACTAAGAGAAATGTGAGCCCCGTATCTGTCTGCATCAGAGTGCGACACCTCAACAGTAGCTCACAAGAGATGGGGGCAAGGAGGGATTCAAAGGATAGGATTAAAAGGTACATATAGATAGATTAAGGAGAGAGCCAGGCGCAGGGACAGCGAGCGACGGAAGAGGAGATAGGAAAGATGGACTTAGTCGCAGGAGTCTGAGGACGGGGCACCACTCGACGAGAGCTCTTGTCGGCGTCAGGAGATGGCGTAGGGGGAGCCCAGTCAGCGAGAGCTGCGCTGTCATCGGAGATCGCGGGGGCACAACCGGTTGGCCCGAAATCGAGCGAGCGAGGCCGCTGGGGTTCTCTATCATGCACGTATATCTACGCGCAGTGTCTTCACGCTTTCGAACATGTGCGGCATTACTGCACATGCATGACTAGGAAATATCTGCAGTGAATGAACAGATTAAGGTACAAAAATAACATGAGAAGCATTGGGAATCGGGATATTTATTGCAGCCTGTGGTCTTAAGTGCACCATACAACAGGGTCCTCCCAAATATAAAAGTGAATGGGGAGTCACCCTGCGGGCAGAAGTCGTTAATATTGGCCTCGGGGACATACCGTGGCGCCACCTACGTGATGACGTCACTCATAGGATTCCGGGTTGTGCTGTCCGCTGGATCACCGCATTTTCCGCGCTTTTGCTGTGGGCACCATGCGTGCTTCCCTTTGTTTTGAAGCTCAGTGCTTAAAGAAGCGGTAAGACCTGATAATACGGACAAGTAAACTACGAATTGGTGCCCCCGGTGGCACTCTCGTGTCTAATTTGCATCGTAAAATTTCGACTAAAAACAGGTGCATCCATGAGAGTCCTTTTACCGAACGTGCGTATCTCATCATTTTCATTTCGTCATCATCATTTTCTATGCAGCGAAAATTGCACGGCCATCTCAACCAATGCCCTCGACGAGGTTTGCTAAGAGTAGCAACCGCATGTGGCTCCTTCTTTTGAAATGGCCACGTGGAAAGCGTCGCCAGAGCACTAGTCCGCCTACCAACAAAAATGGGAGGTTTTAGCATTCCCGACTACGAAGCTGTGTGTCGTGTGTCGGCCTTGAGAACCACATGGGAACTCATCTCCAATTCGACACACCAAGGCCGAGAGCTCACAAAGTACCTAATAGGAACCTCCCGTAGTTTCTTCAGATAAGCAGACGAGACGGGACCGGTGGCTGAGCGGCCGCTTACCTATTATACGTACGTGGTGAAATCTCTGCATTGATTGAAAAATAACTTACCAGACTGTGAACTGATGGATATGTCACCTACTGAAATATGTGAATGTATTGCTGTGAAAAATTTAAACGACGATCAACGCAAGAAATGCCGCAAAAGTTGACATTGGTTCGTCACAGACCACGACCCTACCCGCTGAAGTCCCGAGACTTCACTTGGTTAAGAGAATGGCAGGCATTACAACGGCCGACCGCCTTGCGGCGTGGAGTGTGGCGCCCTCCGCCTCATGTCCGCAATGCAGGCCGGACGGAAACTCTAAATCATGTACTTCACGGATGTCCTGTGGCTTGTACTTTCTGGCGTTTGGTGACCAGAATGTTTCAAGTCAGTATGCAATGGCAGTCAGCGGCACAGAGACATTTTTCGCTGAGTTGATAATCTGTATTGGTGCTTTTGTATTGTGGAAGCGGAGGGGGACTGACATGCCTGCGAAGACGCCCTCAGAGCGCCATGTTTCCTCTGCTACATCGCTTAAGAACCATGACGTTAACACATCTGAACGAACAGTTATTCATTCTAGGGGAGGAAGCTTTCCTCCTGTGGTGGTCAACACGATTTATTCTCAGAAAGAACAAAGTGTCCATGTCTTGCCTTCATTATTGGGGTAGGCTATTGTTTGTGAGTTCAATGAACTTGCATTTAGTATTGTAAAAGTATATGTTTATTCACATACGCATGTTTTATCATGTTGTTTTTTGATCCTTTTCTTGAAGTGTGCGTCCCCCTGTGCAAAGTTTTCTTTGTGCACATTAGAATTTTGTTTGCAGGTACAAACAGTTCCTGTTGTGCATTTAAATGCATATTGGGATATATTAGCAATGTGTTGTGAATGAAAAGTGTAACATATAAATGTCTTCTGTGTATGTATGCTTCTTTCAGAAATAAAGTTCTCTTAAACACAGCGCTGTGTCCTTCTCTAGTGGAGGCCCTCGCAGCCAACACCTCTCCTATGGGTACTTTTATTTTCATCATTAATTTTGTGTAAGTGCAGAACAATGTAAGAAATGTAATATATGACGTTTATTGTATTATTGACAATTTGGGGGAGAGAGAGGTGGTCAGCAGAGAAGCAGTAACTGATAAAAAAGATGACCTTGCTTATCCCTCAGCAAATGTTCTGGCTTTAGCTCCTCTTATACCACGCGGCACAATGCTATCTGCCCCGAGGGTTGCACAAGTTTCTGCAAACGCGATACTTGAAAGCGAGAAGATATCACTACCGCGGGACTAGTCACCAACGTCACGCTCAACTTCGACGTCAAGTCATCCCCCGTCTTTTTATTTCTCATTGCTTCTTTGGTAGTGAGCGCTTTCAGGTAGTGTCCGAAACTTCTAATGTTTTACATAAAATGCAAGGGAATTCGCTGTACTAAACAGGACTAGTGGGTCTACCCTAACCTCCGGGCTCACATTCTTAAAAAAAAAAACAATCTTGCATTAGCATTGTTTCTTTAAAAAAACTTTTGGCAAATGCAGGACCTTGGCCGTATCATTAGTGGAGGCGGCCATCTAGTGGTCAACATTGAAACGAAAGAAAAACATTGAGTTAGACCCCTGGTACTTCACAATAAATGTTTGTGAGATCTTCGCGTACTACGCGCAATGGGAAATGTTAAAACGTAATATGAGTACCGTTACCACGTCGTGAATGAATAATTCAACGTTTGCGCGCCATTGAGTAGACTGGCGTCACTCAGTGAAACACCGTTGTGGGAAGCGACACGGTTGAGAAGAACGCGCTCTTAACGTACGTAGCCGACGCCCCTATCAGCGCTCCGAGCAGGAAAAGTCCGGCCGTTGTGCCTCCGACTACACCGGGAGAATAGCGCATCGACATGGCAGAGTAGGCCTCTGGAAGCTCAGTTATGATGTCGTGTGGGAAAGTGGTAGTGCTGTCCCAATCACTGAGTCTTTTCATCCGTCACCACGGGGTCGGTGATGACCTCCCAGGAGGTGGTGGAGGCGGCGGCTGAGGTAGTTGCCCTCGAAGATGCCGCTGTGGTCCCTTCCTCGGTGGGAGTGGTTTCCGCCATAGTGGTTGTTTGAATTGACGTGGTTTCAGCCGTTGTTGGTGGAGGTGCAGGTCCCGGCTTGAGCGTAAGAGGCAGTCCTAAGCCCCAGGACGATGCTGTAAGATTCACCTGAAAGTAGCCGAGACTCCGAAACCTTACAAGACAAACACCCCACAGAGCGCGATGCAAATACTTGAAATAGTTTCTAGTTCACTCTGTATGGTGTGGCGGCTGTGATATTGCTTCCTACAATGTGCAAACGCGCTTTAACTCCAAAATAATGAAATAATAGCGATTATCACTTGAGACGAGCTAACATGATTGCTAGAAAGGACACTTTGAGAAAACAAAAACTTGACTATTTTCTTACATAGTCAAATGATAATACTATACACAATTCTATCAGCTATCAACTACTATACACTATCAACTATTACGTGGTGTTCCTATTAGACATAATATTAATGAGCACCAACAGACAACACTGACAAGGAAAGTATAGGGGATGTTATTAGTAGTTGAAGTGATGTAAAGGTTAATAACATCCCCTATACCTTCTTTGGTAGTGTTGTACTGTTATTTCTCAATAATATTGTGTCTAACAAAGAAAAGCGAGCCCTCAGAAGCTCCATAGTGTTACTGTTTGTACGACATACACATATTAGCCTGTCAACAGGCATCGTTATCTGCAGTAGTTACGTAAAACACGTATTCCCCTAATCACCTGCAAATACTTATGCTCTCCGCCACCATCTGGGGAATGATTGCGACACCAAGAATAAGGTTGCCTCTATTATAGCTCACTCAGCGTACTTGCCAATAAGTACTATGTGTTTACGAAGAATTAACTATGACGAAGGCCGTGTTACGAGATAAGTATGGCGTACTTTGTTAGCTTTGTCTACACATGGTCATTGCTATTCAGCTTGTTGTAGTCTCACGGAACTAAATGATAGCGGAAGTGTTGTTTGAGCGCTTCAGCTAATTCATACTTGAACGTTCTAATCACTTATGTTACCGGGTGCTATTTCTGGCTTATAAGAGACTTTTTCATGAGAGACTTCATAGGACACCATTTAAGGCAGGGAATAACACTGTACAGTTTCAGCTATACGTTTGCAAAAATGGATATGTCTGAATTATCAAAGGCGAAAACGAGGTGCTACTGTGCATTAGAAAAGACCACTCCATCTGTCTTCGAAAGATTGCAAATGTGTAATTCTACAGACACCACTATGAAGCTACTCGTAGTGTTGATTTATAGCCAGCCTAAATTTGAAACATTCAACATACTAGTCTGCAATCCGAGCTTAAGGAATATCGCAGTTAGAGACCTTCGGCGAAAAAACTTTCAGAAAATGATGGTGTCTGTTCTTGCTCTATTAATCGAGAGCTAGGAGTTTGGCAAAGTGTACCCACACTTCTCTAACATGCCAATTTGTAGCCCATCACAGACTACATTCTCTTTATGCCGGGTGAAGTATATGGGACATTAACTTCGCATAGCCATTCTACATGGCTCAAAAGGTCGCCCACCAGGCTCTTAAAATACAAGAAGAAACGAGGGCAACACTTTCTCATGATCTTTCTTGTTCTTCTTTCGCACTTCTGTGACACAGACAGTAGTTGCCGTGGCGTCTGTTGCGTACATGGTCTCGATTGTTCCATATGTGCGAAATATCTAATGTGATTTATCTCCTGCACTGCTTTGCCATGCAATAACTATACGAGGCGAGGAGGATGTATCGCGTGTGCAAAATAGAAAATAAAACCACAACCGCCATCCTTGAACATGGGGTGGTGAGTGGCCCTTGAAAAACTGAATGCCAGCCCTTAGTTCTGTGGCTTAATCGCCACAGAACTAAGCTACCTGCTGATTTTGTACAAGCTTGAGCTTCATTGCCTTTTAACGGTGAAAAGAGTTACGGTGGCATTTTTGGCGGCAGATGTTTCATGCGTATAAAACGTACACCTACGATTTAAACAAGCCTGTGTAGTACTTTTTTTAAGGCATTACGTGCAATATAATGCTACAAAGCACTGTCAGAGATGAAGAGGAAAATAGCAAAGAGGAAGGCGATGTTCCCTGATTTTTGCGTGGACTTCACTCTGTCTTGTATGCCTGGCTCTGAGCGCTCGTAGTACATATCATGCAGATATATTTTGTGATTACTTTTCCCCCGTAACATTTTGGTGGAGAGTGCGGTTTTTCCCAGCTTCAACATTCACGAGGATTCTCCGTAGCGGACGCTCCTTGGCTACTTCGGTGATGTATGTATGCTCAAGAAGAAAACTAGGATGCAACGGAAACTTCACCGAGCGTGCCTCGAGCAACTGTGTCGTCACAAATCACCACTGATTGCACCATCGTCCTGACACAACGCCTAGATAAGGGCATCAAATTATTTCAGTTAACGTTCTTTTTTTGCACCAGCCGTACAATTCTGGCAACTTTCCACTCAAGACAATAGTGCACAGTTGATGGAATGCCTTCTATAATCATGTTTCTTTATAGAAAATTCTCATATGACACAAAAGCCACATCCCATAGCCTCGAAAGAACACATATGAATCATATGTGCTTTCGTATGATCATACGAGGTTTATTGAATATTTGGCAAATGAGATTTTTCGATAGAGATGTTGCCAAAGGTTAGTCGGTGACATTTTCTACGCGATTTTGTACTGCATACGAAACAAAGGGGTTAAACGATTAGTTGCACTGGTATATTTAAATGTAATAGATTTAGTATCCTGTAAATATTTTTTGACATAGATGCATGCTCTCTGTAATATTTTCATATAATCAGTCAATATACTGTACTTTCTTAGTAACCGAAAAACCTCGAATATGCTCTAAATCATGCAGGCCACCGATGAAACTACACACATTTGTCGAAAGAAAAGCAAACACGAGAAAAAAAAAAGCGATCTTCGTGCTTTTTTCTTCAGCACAAAACTCGAAGACAGTGCTTCTCAGGACCTCAAAACAATTTGAGAAAATGAAATAAGAAATAAAGGACCTAATTGAGGAGTAGCCGGCGCCACGCATCGACACGAATCTCTCCTTATATACATTTATTTTAAAAAGGGGGCCTAAGTGCTATACAGTGCTTATTCTTTTAGTTTCCTTCTTCCCTAACATCTAGGAATATGTACGCAACCTGGCGGCGTTCAGTTGCACTCCCTTCATCCGCAAGTAAGAAACGCAATGACACAAATTAATAAAATACATACAGAAAACGTTGCCTTTAACTAAGGCGCCATTCAGAACTTCGTTATGAATGGCGCCTTAGTTGAAGGTTGCCAAAGAATTTTGGTAAGTCATTTCGTTTTCTAATTACTCCCTACATAAAAAAGAACAGATCTTGTGGCAGTGAATCAATCACATGACACCCATTAAGGCAAAGTAAATTAATGCAAGTTACGGAGTAAATAAAAACACAAGGGTGTTTTTATTGACCAAAAATTCATATTAATTGCAAGAGATGTATGGGGAGAATTCACCAGAACGTTATAAGGCGAATAGACACCAGCACGGACTAAAGAGACACTAAATTAGGAACAATGATTTGGTGCAGATTGACAAAATGTACTCTGAACTCTTTAATGCCACTTGTTACACTATAAGTTTATTATTAACGTAGAAAATCAATGTAGAAGTTTGATTTTTAAATTTCACGACAAAATTTTCACGCGTATCGTCGGAAATTTCAAAATGTAGTTTTTTTTTCTGCTGACATTGACCTAATGAACTTTACTGAAACTTCGTGTGCTAAGTCTATGGCACCCACAAATGACAGTGAACTTAAATTTTATTGATTAGAAGCTACGTGGGGCACGGTAGACGCCTTAAAAATTTATGACATTTGGGCATATCCTGCGGAACTCTGAAAGCGGCTCCTTCCGCCCGCACTTACTTTTTCGCGCGTTTTCACGCTTATCAGGTGTCGTCTCGCGGTAACAGGAATGTTTTCGAAATTGTGGCATTGTACTTTACCAATATGCGAAAAAGCTTTTTTCTCTGCAGTGCCCCTTCAAGATGGATGTACTTGCAATAGGCACTTATATTTTTTAGCACATCGCACGTGTGGCCGAGGACTGAAACGTCAACGCTTATGAACAACAAGCCTAATGACAAGCATTTACAATGCAAACTATGAAAATACCATGTCGCTTACCCCCTTATATGTTATCCCAAGGCTGCCTTCGCTCACGGATTTGTTCAGGTTATCTTGCATGCCTTCTAAGTCAACTTGGTTGTCCACGATGTCTACTTCCGCATCAGCAGGAAATCGGTCCAGCAAGGTGAACGTGATCAACAGTGTGTCATTCTCCGTGAAGTACTGTCAATTGAATAAGGAAAACGAATGAGAGCAACGGGTAAACACATGAAGGAAATAAACGCAGAAGATGAAAAAGATCGTAACGAGCGCAAATCTTATCATCGTTTCGTATGCCTCTGTCGAAAAAAAAAAACTGTGCAATTTTGTTTTTCAGGATTCTTGACAATAAGTTGCTGCAAATGACTCATAACCCTATCGCATGAAGAAATCTGCTTTCCCAGACAAAACACCATATGTTATCGTCAGTTGTGCTATGCACGAAAAAAAAAAAACAAGCACTGTGGGGTATATAAAGGAATGTCATTATATTTCCTTATCTCGTGGCAGAACCTGTAGGCCTACATGCATTCTGATGAAGTCGAACACCATTACATTTTATAGGTTCCGCTAAATATTTAGTCTTTCTCTAGATGACGCTCGGAGAAAACAGCCTATCTAGGTTGTTCCTTCGATTCTTCAGAAAGCCTAGAGCGCTGCTTAAGCAGGGATTAGTTTTTAGCAGAAAAAAAGAGCTACTTTTTTTTCAGTCTTCTAAAATATTTCATCATATATTAATTTTGCAAGATGTTGCTCACCATGTATTTTTAGTTCTCTCGCTTCTTTTGAGCGTTAACGAAAGACGAAAATAGTAGAAAATTTTGGTGGATGGGGCTTTACATACACGCGTAAGAGCGTTCCTCCACTCGCGCAGCGTCTTCGTGAGGGTATTCAAACCATTGTTAATAATACAAGAGTCTAACGCTCAATAACTTCGACCGGATTATGAGACGCGCCGTAGTGACGGGCTTCGGAAATTTCGACCATTTGTTGTACATTAAGGTACACGGGCATGGAACAGCACGTGGTCGTCTAGCAGTTCACCTTCGATTGAAGTGAGACTGCCGCAGCCGGGATCGAAATCGCGATCTTCAGGTCAGCGATCAAGAACCGTAGTCACTGATTCCATAGGACAGACTGTCTAAAGATTTAAATTGTATTTGCTGTTTTGCGAACCCAAGGAGAGATCAATACAAGACATAGGTCGTGGTCGGGTGCTCCTAGATAGTTTTATTCCTTGGAGTTCATAGAAGCACACCCAAACGAATGTGCACCTGAGGTTTTGCTGGCTGAATAGCGTTACTCCTATGGTCAAACCTGCAAGTAGGTGTTTTTAGGGGCGAAGCTTCTTAAAGCGGCACCCGTTCGCCCCTCGTCGTAGTGCGTAACCAGTCCTACGTTTTGACCGGCAAGGTGCTGCCGGTGGGAGATTTCTCCTGAGCGTTGGTTAACAATAAAGGAAGGAAAGAAAATAGGAGGGAAAAAACGGCAGGGAGGTTAACCAGCCTATAGGCAGCCGGTTTGCTACCCTGCACATGGGAGCGGGATGGGGGAGATGAAAGATAGAGAGCAGAGAGGGAAGGGAGATAAACACAGCACATTCGGCAGCACACGCGCGCACACTCAGTCATAGTCCAGTCTTGTCTTTCGCGGTGTGTGACATTGCTGTTACAGCTGCTTGTTCACGTGCCGTGTCGCGTAGGAATTTCAACGGAGCTTTTGTCGCCTTCTGTTGCAATGTCTTTTCTCGGGCACTTGACAGAATAGTGTCCACAGATATTTGGCTGTTGTCGATGCGTGCAAGAACGGACGCCAGTGACTGTCTCTGGATGTCATACAACGGACAGTCGCACAGGATGTGGTGTAGCGTCTCTTCGCAACGACAGGCATCGCAGAGAGCGTTGTCGGCCATTCCTATGGCAAAGGAATAAGATTTTGTAAATGCCACTCCTAGCCATAAGCGATGAAGAAGGGTGGCTTCTCTTCGGTCGAGCCCAGTGGGCATGCGGAGAGCCATCAAAGACGACCGGTGGTGTTGACGATTCGTCTCGTTGCTTGGTGGGCACCATAGTGAAAACGTGATTTCACGCGAAAGTCGTCGAAGATTACTGGCAGCATCGGCCCGCGAAAGTGGTATGGCTTCTTCTCGTGTTCCTTCAAGAGCTGCCCGCGCGGCAGTATCGGCATGTTCGTTCCCTATGATGCCGCAGTGACTTGGCAGCCACTGAAACACGATGCCCTTTCTCGTGTGAAGTGTGGAGAAAACATAGAATTTTGAAAACAAGCTGTTCGTATATGGCCCGCGACGCAGTGCTGAGAGCACAGATTGTAGGGCAGCCCTTGAGTCGCTGAAAATCAACCATTGTTGCGGTGGTTCCCGATTGACCAAACAAACTACAGCGCACCAAGCTGCTAGTTCGCTACTGTAGATGCCGTGGAGTGGTCAGTCCTAAAGCTGATGGTAACAACTCTTGCTGGGACAACTACTGCACCTGATGAACACTGGCGGCTCGTGGAGCCATCGGTATATATATGTACACTGTCTGAATATTTCTCGTGCAAAAGAAGAAGAGATAGTTGTTTCAGCACGGGCGATGAAAGATCAGATTTCCTCCGGAAGCCTGGTACACCAAAGTGCACTGTGGGTCGAATAAGACAACAAGGGGGTATCGATGGCTTAGATGCAGGAGTGAAGCCCGAAGAAAGTTTCTCGTTGTACTTCACAATCATTTTAGCGAACGACGTTTCGCGCCTCTCTGAAGGCAACAGTGCAAGGGGATGACAGAGCACGTGCAAAGTGCCTGATGTGGTTGAACAATAAAAAATGGCAGCATATCCACGGGGTGAATGACGCAGAGTGGGGCGAAGCATCCGTCCGTCCATTAGTTCTTGCTTCCGTCTGTCCATGCGTCCGTCTGTGTGACCGTCCATGCGTCCATCCGCCCGTCCGTGCGTGCGTCTTTTCGTGTGTCCGCACGTCCATTCGTGCGATCGTCCCTGCTTTCGTCCATGCATCCGCCCTGCTTTCGTCCATGCATCCGCCCCTGCATCCGTCCATGCGTCCATTCGTCCATGCAGCCATCCGTGCGTCCGTCCATGCATCTGTCTGTGTGCCCGTTCGTCTATTTAGTCAACAGTCCACGTACCACCATGTTGAATCTTTTCATCATATACGCGTCCATTTGTGTGACCGTCCATGCGTCCATCCGCCCATCCGTGCGTGCGTCTGTTCATGTGTCCGCACGTCCATCCGTGCGTCTGTCCCTGCGTTCGTCCATTCATCCACCCCTGCATTCGTCCATGCGTCCACCCGTCCGTGCAGCCATCTGTGCATCCGTCCATGCATTTGTCTGTGTGCCCGTTTGTCCATCTAGTCAACACTCCAAGTACCATCATCTTGCATCTTTTCATCATATATTCCGCATATAGAAGCACCGCTATCCAGCGGACATTCCAAGAACTAAACGAGAGGTGGTTCACGCACACTTTCTTACGGTTTGCGCTTGTTGTCTACTTTCCACCTTTAACCACCTCGAGTTCATGGTATATACTAGTTCACGGTGTTGATGGCAATGTGGCCCAACGCTAACTATACCTTTCTAAAACCAAGGAGGTTACGCCCAGCGAGTATAACCTAGCAACCCTTTCTTGTCAGATAGTGCTCAATGTCAGATAGGGCCCAAGAACCACCACAACATGCCAATGGCTGTTAATTGAGAATGAGAGACAGGAGAATTCGGCTTTTATTTAACGCGCACGCTGCGAATTTTTTATTGTTCAACAACGCACAGGAGAAATCTTCCACCGGCACCAACTTGCAGGTCAAAGCGTAAGACTCGTTACGCACTACAACGATGGACGAACGGGTGCCGCTTGAAGGAGCTTTGCCCTTCAAAAATTCGCAGTGTGTGCGTTAACTAAAAGCCAAGTTCTCCTGTCTCTCATTCCCCATTAGCAGCTATTGGCATGTACATTGAGCACTATCTGAAGAGAAGGGGTTGCTACGTTATACTCGCTGGGCGTAACCTCCTTGGTTTTAGAAAGGTTTAGCGAGCGTTGGGCCGCAGTGCCTTGAATACAGTGAACTAGTATATACCATGAACTCGAGGTGGTTAAAATGTGGGAAGTAGACACGAAGCGCAAGCCGTAAGAAAGTGTTTGTGTGCCACCTCTCCTTTAGTCCTTGGAATGTCCGCAGGGTGGCGGTGCTTCTATATGCAGAATATATGATGAAAAGATGCCAGATGGTGGTACTTGGAGTGTTGACTAGATGGACGAATGGACACAGACAGATGCATGGACGGACGCATGGACGGCTGCACGGACGGATAGACGCATGGACGGACGCAGGGGCGGATGCATGAACGAACACAGGGACGGACGCACGGATGGACATGCGGACGCACGAACAGACACACGCACGAACGGGTGGATGGACGCATGGATGGCCACACAGACGGACGCATGGATGGACGGAAGCAAAAACGAATGGACGGACAGATGCTTCACTCCACGCTCCATCATTCACCCCGTATTTATGCTGCCATTTTTTTCTTCATGCATTGAGTTATACACTGTTACACGTTACCTGTGGTCAATTGTTTATTTTTTTTTCAATCGTTCCTCATATGGTTAGCTGCACTGAAACGCGGAAGTACGGTTTATAAATAATAAACCACATTTTTAGCATGGCAGTACCTGTACACTCTTTTCGCCCTGTACTATTTCGGTAGGCCCCTTTTACATTCCGGCTGAGTCCTTGCTGAAGTTTCATACTTGTCCTTTTCTGACACTGTAATCTACATCGCTTTCGTTTTTAAATTTAAATGCAGCGCTTTTTTTCCCTTCTGGCCGATGCAGTCTTTGTTACCTAATAGTATTTGTGTTGGTACTGCATCTTTCTCAATAAAAAAACTAAACCATACCCGCGTCCTTTGAAACATTGCCGTTAATACTGGCGAGAAAGAGCATCACTATAACACCACACATTAACCACTTTCAGTATCCTAAAACAAAAAGATTTTCCAATTGACTGTAGCAGAATTTTCTTCAGCAGGAAAATTTCGCATAGTTTGGGAAACGTGTTTATTCTTTCAACGTCATTTCCGTGACGGACATACGTCACTGAAGCATTGGTGGACGCCGGCATAAAACACTTTCATGTTGAAAAAGATTTTTTTGCGACATATTCGAAACATACGCTTACCCCTCTGACGCGCGTGATGCGCAAGGAATGGTCCGAAAGAGAAGAAGCCTGATCGAGTGCCATGCGCCAAGCAGACAAGAACTTAGGGTCGTTGATCGTAGAAACTGAAGAAAGCGTGGAGTAGTCAGGCGATGATACTGTTGGAAGAGAAACACGGGTGCCAGGATCAGCCACAAACAACGCAGGGGATTTGAAAATAACAGGCGTGTTAAGAAAGAGTGTTTAACGATTTTGAGTACTCGGTACTCTACTGCGAGAGAGCGTGCAGCCGTCCGATACCCAGATAATAATGAATTGATTGCTGAAGATGGGGCGAAGAAGTATGCACCTGACTATAAATTGTGGCCTTCCATTTGTTCTGCTTAGCAGCCTTTTATTTTGTCCTTTAAACTTTTGTTCTCTCATATTCTTTTATTGTTGTACGGTTAAGTGTCGGTGTTTATCGGGTGTTGTGGCGCTTTAATCTGTTTGTTCTGGTTGACAGCCTTCTGATAACCTTTTTGTTCTTCGCAGCTGTTTCAGCTTCTATATAAGCTGTAGACGCCAGGTGGCGGTTAGTGAACGAAGGGACATTGTGTTATCTTAAGGGGCTAAACTCCAAAAAATACATGATTACAATCACGAACTACTGCGTGATTTCAAATTATGCTTCTTTCAACATTTTCACAATTATCTCGTATAATTTTCTTGAATTCGGTTACCAGATCTTTTGGTGGGGAAGCGCAGGAAACATCGTGCATGAATAAAGCTAGATTAAATTTCAGTGTGTATGAGCAATACCTGAGAAATTTATGGTTGAGACGCGTAGCACGCGCTCAAAGCATCCTGATTGTTTTGTAACGACTTCAGCATTACGTGATTTTGAACGATACTGTGAACAACATTCAGGATTGCTCTTCCACGAAGTTACTATCCTTGCCTATTATTTAAAGAAACGGTACAGTTCTTGGCGAAGGAGTGATTGAAAATGCTAGACACCGAGAACTATGCCTTTTTATTCGCGTCTCACTAAGGAAACTAGGCAAAAGTGCAACAAAGTCACGTTGAGAAGTAATCTATAATGAAAATTGCACTCGTCTTTTTTTTTTCGCCCTTTTATAATCAACGCACTGAATTTGTTTCTGTTCTTTAGCAGGTAGCATTAACTAAAACACTTTATAACATAACGTGAGTCATGTGATAGTTGCTTGGAAAACGCTATTAAAGGACAATGCGATTTGACTTGCGCGTCCCCCTGTGCTTTCTTCAATGGCATTGTCGTTTTACCATGGCGTTGTTTGGTTCACTTATATCTTTTAGGTGAGGCAAACATATCAGGCTACGCTGTGTCTTCACCTACAAGCCTGATAGTACGAGCACGGAAAATGGCGAGGACACGCAGCTACGTGGAATTACGAACCGCCAGCCAAGGGCGCGGACGCACTTGCTGAAGATAAATTATTCAATCTTTCTGTCCCACTCTAAAGCGAATTAGGCATACATTTATTACGAAACGCCTTTCTAACCGATGTTTTCTACTGGATAGTGATCAATCAAAAACGAAAAAAAAACTAAGTGGTGGCCATGGTATTGGCATACAATAAAGATGAGTTAACTAAATCAATTTTCGGTCCACATTGTGGTTTGAAAAATTTTCCTTGTTCAAGCTTCTCTACAGGTGCCTCCTGTCATAAAATGAGCGTAAGTGTGAGGGCGTCCTTCTAGGCAGCGACTCAATGACAATGATTTTGCTTTATTGAGCACGCTGAACACTTCTAATAAAAATTAATGAGCATAGGGGTGAAATGCATCAGTAGTGGGAGTCCTATCTTGTCAACTTTGCGCTAGAGCATTCAGGAAGCTGTAGTGACGATCAAACGAACATTTTCAGAGAACTTTTTTTTTTGAATTCCACAACGAGTTCAGCCAAGTACGAAAAGGTGTTTTTTTCCAAGGCGTCAATATTACGTGACCATATCGAAGCCACGTTCAATTTTTTCCTCGAACGAACAATAAAGCTTATGCCGGGAACTTTCCGGATGACACTCACGTTTCACTTCGAGATAGGCGTCCACAGAATCATTGCCCTTGTAGCATGGCGAAATGTCGAAGCCATGCAAATCAATGAGTTCCGGCGGGTTTTTGAACGAGTCGTAGAAATGGTAGCTTAACCGGGTACCCTCGTTGAGGGGCAGAGAGCTCTCGCTGTCGCTCGGAACCTTCGAAGCAAAGACACAAACGCATTGAATCAATCGTCTCAAAAAGTAGGGTGAAACCAATTTCTTTTATTTTTTTAGCAATACGCGAATCACAAATTTTCATATTATTTAAGATTGCACTTTTATAAGCTATGGTCCACAAGGGTTATCACGCACGTGACGGGACCGCACAAAGCAAAGTTCGTGAGGGTGAGACTGAGATATGTGGCTTCACCTGGAAGATTGCTTGCTATAAAAATTGTTGTGGTTAGGTAAAATGAAAACCTAACTACTGCAGCGCGTAATCTAGATAGCGACTGCCTGCTTCAAATACATTCATCAAAGCACACATTTTTCTCCAGGTAAATGCATGACAATACAAACTTTAGTTTTGTATTTTCTGCAAGCCTTTGTTCGGTGTATATTGCAGTAACTATTACGCGTATGACAGCGCAAGCAACCCTTGTTACCTAACCCAACATACTACAAAAATGTAGTGCACAAAACCTAGGCTAAACTGGTACATAAGTATATTTTGAGGGACAGTTAGATTTAAAACTTTAGAATGAGCCTGAACATACGAATACCGACAAAAAACAATAATACATAAATGTTATTTTCCTATTATGCTTACAGAAACACATAGAAATAATTGACTTTTCAGTATTTTGAAAGAATCAATTTTCGCTTTTCTTCAATAGCATTGGTGGAAACAAGAAAAAAGCACAGCATGAAAATACTTTATGCTTTGTACTGATGATGGTGATGCCCTTTAGCTCAGCTTGCCGAAAGTTTACATATTTAATTGCTTGCTGCCATGCGGGCTGAATAACAATGATTAGAAAAAATATTTTCATTGATGCATCATTCCTTACTTATTTTCAGTTGAAAGGAAACAACATGGTTTGTCTAACAACACACCTATATCAAAGCTGTGTTTTCTGTCTACGCCACAACTAATATTCGAATCCCATCTCATAGGCTTGGCTAATTTATGTGCACATAAATGAACAACAACACCTGTACCACGCAATGACAATAAACAGTTTTGTATAGATGTTTGCGCAGATCAGGTTTCTAAGTATCGATCGCACGTTAGTTTGCCTACAGTCCGAACTATTAGGCATTCAGGAAGATGTTTAGGTCGCCCATACGAAGAAAAGTGATGCTTAAGCAAATATAGTTAGGGAACAGTAACATTTCACTGTCTACCCGTCGACGGTAAAATATTACGACAGCCCGGGCTTACACATACACCTTAGAAATTTTCAGGGCGCTGAGAGCATTTCTATGCATCATTCTGTCCTAACTGATGTAGTTACTGTGTGCGCCACTTGAAGCTGAGAGGGAAAGTTAATACTACAAATGTCATTACAATTTTACTCTTGTGTGTTGTGCAAGATGAGCGCAAGGAGGGCCACTTACACAAAACAGATGAAAACACTGTGACGGCGTGCGTGGGCTTGATTGATGGGTGCTATAAAATTGCAATCAACTTGCTCCACACCAAGTCGTTACTTTCTTTCCACGTACCGCTTTAGAACACTGCTATTGCTTGGTCGAAATGTGCTGTCTGTTGGGAAATCTTTAAAAGTTGCATGCCGAAATTTTTCGCTCATATAAGGACCTCAAACAGAGTTAGCTCTGCATCGTGCTTATGTTCGGGCCGCCAACGGCTATAATGCTGCGGGACTTGCAACATATACAGCTAGCTCTCTTCGTAGCCAGCATAAGCACAAATGCCTTCGAATAGGCAATATGATGAACATATCTCGCGGGAAACTGAAATGTGATTGATAATTTGGGGCACTGATTTAATGCACTCACCTGAAGCACCGTGATATCAAGGCTGACCATATACGTGTTGCCAGATGAACGCTTTCCCTCTTCCCCTTTCTGATGATAGGAAAAAAAAGATGATTCTAATTGTTAACGTTAATAACGAATGGTCTGACCCTACAAATGATACTGGTTATACCCAACGCAAAGACAACGGTGGAATGTACAGCATTGATGTGATGGCCTACTCTCGCAAGTTCAGCTTATGCTTCAAGCAGCTGTCGGCATAAGGACCCAGGCGCCTGTATTGTATGGAACCTAATGCCATGCAAAATGCACATTTTTATGGTGTGCTGTGGTATTTCTGAAGCCTTCAGAATTTCTAGGGACAAATGACCTCATTATCACAAACTACTTCACAGTTCAGATGAAGTTTCAACTGGAATTGTTACCTTTGCGACAGTTGTCACACCTTACGTCTTACTGGCAAAATCAGAATGCCTAAGGTTAGTTTGCGTAAGTGTAGTGCCCATTCAAAATGCATGGTAATAACGTACTTACGAAAAGTGTGCGAAATGACGGTGCAGCATGAAGTTGTGTTCTGCATTAATAGCAAATATAGTACAGAATGTAGACATGTGGTTTTGCAAAAGGGCAAGACGCTTGGTCCTTCCTGCGCTTTTCAACGATCATCTACGTTTACATTGTATAGGGCATCAATATTGTTTCAGTTCAGTTCTATTTAATAATATTCATTCATAACACAAATATTCATGGCTAATAGTATGCAGACAAGAGTCCTAAAGTCGAGTGACTGCAGTGGGACCCTGCAGCGGGATATTGTATCCTGTTAGCGAGGTTACTAATGTATACAATGGTGTGGTGACGAACTGTTAAGTACGTTTCTTAATGATAAGAGCGCTAATTGAAATATCATACATGCGATTATGTTATGTAAGGATATCTTTCTGTTGATCTTATTGCTCCTTGCCAATTATCGATAACAAACAGCGTCCCCTGGAGATAACGCTTTGCCACTCAGGCTACTGACAAAGCGCAAAAAAAGAAAGTGCCAGCATAAAACAACTACGTTATCCCACAAATGAGGTTGCAATGAACATGTGAAACAGGTTTTCTTACTTTATCTTTTTTTTCCTCCTATAGAGATTGCATGAGAGGAGAATCCGGCATGCATTGAGATGGGCCATACATTAGAAACATTATATATAACAACTAGGGAAAAGACACTTGCACTTAAGACCATGATTCTCTGTGTTTTCTTGTTTAGTGCTACCACTGCGATATTCCCGCAGAACGGAACGCAATTACGCTGTAAGATGTCAGAGATCATGAGAAGGAAGGTAGAAAGAAAGGGAGGGAGGGACGGAGGGAGGAAGGAAGGAAGGAAGGAAGGAAGGAGGAAGATAGGAAGGAAGGAAGGAAGGAAGGAAGGAAGGAAGGAAGGAAGAGCAATATTTTTTACTAATCCGGTGAGTTATCCGAGGTATGAAACAAAAATAATTTCTACATGTCATCAGCTGGCTCAAGTTTATGTGATTTCAAATGTTGCTATATCGCCAACGCAAATACGTGCACACGAGACTACCAGTATCGACATAGGATACCGGTGGCTGTATTATTTCCCAAGAAACATTGAAAAGTTTGTAAATGGTCGATGTCTGTTGGCAAGTATGTATCTAGAACAGCTTACGGGAACGACGAAACACCATTCCCACAGCGTGGAAAAGCCGTTAGACTCGGGCGGCCAGTCCGTGCGCAACACTTCCCATAAATGGCACGGAATTCCCCGTTTCACTGTCTGAAACAAGATGAACGTCTCTTTATGGTGGCGATATATCACAGCCTCTTTGTGTCATCAGCACAAAACACCTCAGCCCAATGGCCTAGTGAGTGATACAAAGCCTTCACATGCATTTTTTGTTTTATACTGAAAAAAAAATAACAGGACGACGTATTGAGAAGAGACAGTGCAGGAGGACACACTGAGCCAGAAGTAAGGAGCTGGTTTTAAAGTTCAACGATTCTAGAAATTTTTCGTAGCTTTCTTTCAATATGGCTTCAATGTTCCAGTGGGCAGGTGAACAATAGAGTGCATCAAGAATAGCATTTAGATGCGACTGTTTATTCTATTTTTAAAATGAATTTCACAACAATAACATCTCCAAGTTCATAACAACATAAATAGGAGTTTACGCACAAAGTTCATAAAGCTTTAGGGACATCACAAAGCATCAAACTTTACATGCGTGAACTACTTTATTTATACATTCTCGGTGCAGTGTAACGTCTTATCAACCATAGGCTGCCTTGCCACGAAGAAAGCCTTAGAAATCCCATTTAATTGGTCATGTCTATTTCAAGGTATACAATGGTCGCTGCATATATAAGCAATGCATGCACACGCACACTAGGTGATAATGCTCATGAACTGCCAAGAGAGAATATATAGAGGGAATGTATTTCAACATGTCAGCTTCGCTTTAACTGCTCACCAGAGAAGCCTTGTCGATCTACCCTATATTTTGTTTCTTTTATTATAACTATGCTTCACAACACGTTGACCTTCTGTATTATAGTGGCGGTACAATACGAAGACAAGAAAGGTGACTTGACGAGTGTCTGCAGTATGGAAGTGCTATGCTGTGAATAAATACTTGTCTGGGACAGTGCACATAACTTCATACTTCTTCACACTACTGCATGTAATAGATGCTGTAGGGCGACTGGGGCTTCGCAAACGCTACGTCAGTATGTAAAATAAAGGTGATGATTGCGCTCATATTGGTGTACCAGCCATTATTACGCTGATGTAACAAGGACGGAACACGCTGTAAACGAAATTGCGACCATTCCTTAGTCCTTCATTAGAGGTGTTTCAGAAACCTGGATGTTTAAAGCACCCTTGACGCATGATGCATAACTTGAAGAGATAAAATGATATGCAGTATATTTATTATTGGTAGGCTATAGGACTCAGTGTTATCGGTGCACAGGAGACAAATCTATCAACGACCTATTACCGCAGCCGTATTGTGCAACTGGAAACTTCTACTAACGGACACAATTAGCTATAGTTAGCTGTTCTAAATAACTGAAATATTTGAGTTATGTTTTGAAGAAAACATGCTCATATGGTAAAAATAAATCAGCTGCGCTACTGTGAAACCTAAGAACGTGCTTAGCAAATGCACCCAGCTATTCCAGGTCGTAAACTTCCCACTCCTCCGTTTAACGAAATCTCGATGAAGTCAATGTTTCAAGTAAGCATGTAGGGTCTCCCCGACTTCATTATAATTTTAAGGAGATTTGTAAACTCCGAGAGAGAGAGAATAAGGATGATAGAAAGGCAGGCAGGTTAACCATGGCTGAGCCCGGTAGGCTACCTTGCATTGGCAAAGGTGAGAGAAGGAGGGAAAGTTCATTAGAAAGAGAGAAGGAGAGAAAAGTCCCTGATGCCGTTAACTGCAGTTCTGTGCTTAATATCACAGATCGTGTGTCACACCTGTCTCTTAATCAAATGAGCACATTCGTTGAATTACGTAACTGCCGCATGCACCCAAAATCTTCCTGACGGTGAAGCCATGAGGGTGCCGCTTGCGTCCTCATAGCAGCAGACTACTGAAAACTTGGGAGAGCTGGAGTGATGGTGTCAAGCAGTTGCAACACGCTTCGATCTGTTGGTGTTTGCATGTTGCTCAGAAGCACGCGTAAAGCACTGATTAGGGTGCTTAGTACGAATGAGTGGTTCTTGAGAAGAGGAAAAAGGCCCCTACGTTCCGTCTGCCTCTTCGGCGACACGGCAAAGTGCCTTGTTCTGTAAGGGGGAGGAGGGATAAAAATAATAGTGGAAAAATATAGATAAGAAATGGCACAGACAAGCGACAGGAAAAGAAGAGATGCGAAAGTTGGGGGCCGGCCGAAGAAGTCGAGGACGGGGCATTACACGGCGAGAGCTGTATGGCGTCAAAAGGTCGCGGAGGGCGAACCAGTCGGCGAGAGCTACGCTGTCACCGGAGATCACGGGTGGCACAACCATTTAGCTTGAAATCCACCGAGCGACTCCGACCATGCCGATAACTTGTACGTCTTCGTCGGTCAGGTATCGATGAAGTGTTCCTGATGAAGTGTTCCGTCAAGTATTGATGAAGTGGCCAAGCTTCACCTGCATTGCTGGTACAGAGGCACCACTGTCCTTTGAGACTGCTGCGTTCAGACTGGGCAGCAATAATGAATCGTCAGCTCCACTGCTAGCAGAAGTGCCTTTCTTCTCAGAACCGACAGCGCTTGGCCCGAGTGGAAAAGGTTGAGGTGGTTTTGGGCGTGCTTCGCGAGGCAGCGAGGTTTTAGAAGCTTTGGTGCAGCGCCGGCGGCGGAATCGTCGTCGTGTAATGAATCCAGCTGCTTCTCGGTGTGAGATGTCATTTCTGGCCCCTTTTCTTCAGCATTGCTTGCTCACTTCTAATGAGAGGACAGTCCTTTGAAGAGGCATCATGTGGCCTATTGCAATTTGAGCCTTTCAGTATCGTGTCCTGGCACGTGTCTGTGTTGTGACGCATAATGCATCGGGAACAGACGATAGATTTACAACTCAGCGTGTGACATACGCGCTGCATGTGTCTGCAGTTTATGAAGTTCCTGCTCATTAGCTTGGATACGTGCCGTGTGCAGACAGTTGCGTCGCGTTGTTCTTCCCTTCAGCCGTAGCTGCCCAAGCGCCGAAAAAGGAAAAAGTGCGTGCTCTGCGAGACGGTGGTTCTATCTCTCGCACGACGCAAGAGTCGATTCTGAATGTTTCTGAAGAAACTTGGCAATTTAAAAGCGAACATTGCTATTAGTTCATGGTTGTTTTTCTCATTTTTAATATTTTAAAACTCGTTCGTTTATTTGTACTGAATTTTGAGCATTGCTAGCATTGTTTCACACCTGTATCGATCACTTGACTTGGAGCGTAACCACGTCGCGTGAAGTGCATGGAAAGCCATAGGCTTAATGTGCAACGCACTTAGAAGGTTTTATTTTTTGTACAAGCTTATGCTATTCAGATGTTTCAAGACCTACTTTTGCCAGTATTCTTCTAGGTGGGAAGCAGCTCTTCGACTAGACTGTGTAACAATGTCCCTCCGTACACCCTCCCTGCGCATGCTCGCATCTTGTGTCTCCTGCTGCATGCTCGCGTCTCGTGCCGGCCCAGCATACACCCGTAGAATTGTCACTCTCCACACCCTTTCTAGCCTCACAAGGCTGACGCAGGCAGCGTCCGCTAGCAAAAAACATACCGCTTGCGCTGCACAACCGTTCTGTGGCCACCCCGTATATGCTGATGCCATGGTCTGGCACTGAATCGAGCGTTCGGAATTCAGTCAAGGTCGTCTTCACTTGGATTTAGCTTGATAAGTGCCAGCGCCGCCAGTGTAGGCGTTAGCGCTCGCTGCTTCGCATGTACACATCGTTCCCTTTAGCGAGAGATGGTCCGAGCTTTAACGAAAGCCCGTAAAATATGAAAAATAAAATTTAGTGCACTGTACAATATTTAGTGCAATATTTTGTGCAAATTTAGTGCAATATTTTGAGGCGCGCATACGTAAAAAAGCGTGATGAGGAAATAAAGTGCAAATAAAACATAATAAAAAATATCATTGGTGAATAGTTATGACTCGTGTTCACTTTGTTGTAACGTCTATTCATTATTGTTTGCACATGGTGCAGAGCATAAATTCTGATGTGACGTTAAATTAAAGATTATTGTGTATTTTTGTTAGGTATCTTTTGATAATATAAATATATACAGATATAAGCAGTAGCTATACAAATGAATCAATAAATCAATAAACATCGTGTAAGAGAGAATAAGTTCACCAACCTGTTTCTTGTATGTCAGTTTTATGTTGTCATTATCACCACTGAAAATTGTAGCTGGTGTCATGTGCTTGATCAAACTTGGATCGGTGATCATTTGCACGTCAAACTTCAGGTCAAGTATGCTTTTTACCTTGCAACGTATGTTTTTCTTCTGAGTAATCTGATAGATTGCATCTGGAATATTGCGAAAGTTGTTACAAAGGTTCAGTTATTTGAAATTACGTGTTGTTTACTGTTTAATTGTACTGTTAAAAGCCATGACACACATCTACTTTATATTTATTTTATGCACTTGTCAATGTTTTACGCCACACATACAGTTTGTGAATATGAAACTCTCTACCTTTACCACAGCCTCGGAAAGTGAAATTTAAGCGATGTAAACGAATCATTCGTTCAAAATGAGGCCAAATAATAATAACTTTTGGATTATAACGTCCCAAAACCTCCATATTTTTTATGAGAGATGCCGTAGTAGAGGGTTCCTCAAATATCAAAAACCTGGGGTACTTCAACGTGTACCTAAACCTACGCACTCGGGCCTCAAACATTTTAGCCTCCATTGAAAATGCGGCCGCCATGGCCGGAATTCGAACCCGCGACCTGTGGGTCAGCAGCCAAGTGCCTTAGCCGCCGGCTGCTAGACCTGCGCGGCGAGTTCAAAATGAGGCCATACGATTAGAAGTGTCTCCTATATGGATTTACGCCTATTTCGCCAGCGCCGCGCGTAGGTTTAGGGAAGGTCTCCGTCACCGGATTTGTAGATTATGTTTCAAGGGACTCAAGATACCGGCGTTATTTCCAGTCAGCTCCCTCCCAACAATACCAGCATTCATCCAGTGAATGTCATGTTGTGTCACCAGTGCATTGGGCGTAACTTTATTCTCTTTCTATTTATTCTTAGACTGGCGTAGGCGCTGTGTAAAGGGGTTGGTATCCCCTTTATGAAGACAGTCGCCGACTGCTCAGGGGATACACGACCCCTGAAGAGGCTTCCTTCGGTAGATCGCCCTTCTCGCTTACAAGCGCTCGCCCTAACTTGCGCAAGTACACAGCGTGGTAGCGGCATAGTACGTGTTATAAGGTCTTACTGATTCTTAGCCAATAAGGAACAGGAGTGCGTTTCGGTTTTCTGACGCTCGCAGTGTGCAAACGAACGATGTCACCCCCCCCCCCCCCGTCTCCCCCACTAATGAACGCTGGCGGGTAACCGCACTTCGAAATACCCTGCCGAACTGTCTTCGCCTCAGCGGTCAGATCTCCGGGATTTGTGCATAAGTGACTAGCAAGGACTAACAAGGAGGTGACCGCTGACCCTTTTTGAGTGCCAGGATGGATAGACCCACGTTCAGGTACCTGCCAGATTGTGCGCTTTCTTCTTAAAACACAGAAAGATAGCGTTCCATTGTTCCTTTGAACGAGGCCATTAAAAAAAGGTAGGCTCTGGTCAGTTTCCAATTTACGGGGAAATGAATGGAGTTCGGCAGATTTCTTAAACATGTGGTGGATGCTTCTAAAGCAGAGCGCTTGATGACCATAGAAATTGATCACCCTCCCTCGTTCTACGCGTAGCGCTTGCGTAACGTGCTATAAACTGCATAGGATTGTCGATAATAATGAGAACGGAGAACAATGCAAGAGAAAGTATCGATTTGTTATTAGAAGTAGTCGTAAGCTGTGTATTCATGCTATCAGAAGCTGCACGCTTATATTAAATATCTTTTTCAGATACATACAACATTCCAGAGCTGAAAACGCTTGTTTTAACATTAATAACAATGGAAATAAAGAGGTGTACCCATGATCATGCTAAAAGTTACCCCCACTTCTGTGTTTTTAGTTGCAAGAGGAAAAAAAGGGCGACCTCAGAAATGGGGGAAGTAATGCAACGAGCAACGACATAGTTCTTTTTTGTTTTTTTACCACAACACGGGAAAGGTGGCCTTGTTGAAAAGGAAAAGAAATAAACGCGTGTTGTTCAACATAATGACTATACTGTCTGATTTGAATGGGTTAAAAATTTAATGCACTATTGACGTTTACATACGCTGTTGTTCTTTTACGTATCACCATTACATACCGAAAATGTCCCACAAATTTTCATATTCTATGCTTGGCCAATCTTCCTGGTTGCGTGAGAGTCATGTTAGAGGCATCATCATCATCACCATCACAATCATCATCATCATACTTATCATCCCTACCATTATAATCATCATGCTCTGTCATCATCACGACTGCCGGTATAGTTTGTTCTCTGATCAATATTTTCTATGGAGGACGTTAGATAACGCCGCAATCTAAAAGTTATCTTTTTCAGTGCCACCTACCTTCATTTCCAGATACAATAAGCGCTCGTTTCCGGCGAGAAACAGTGCCGTTTGAGGGCTCGTAATCAATTCTGTACAACATACGGTCTAGATTGACCCAAACCTGTAATAACAATGTTTAAAGGTAATTGATTGACTTTGAAAAATAAAAGAAGGAAAATGTGAGTGCGTCTTTAAAACTGGGATTGCACTCTTTCCCTCGGTTAACAACATGTCCCCATGAAAGACCGAAACTGAATAATGTAGCATACATCACTGTAGTGCGTAGCGCTGTAGTCGGATGACGTCATCTCCACGCGGTAGTTGAATACCTTCAGATCTCGAAGTGGAGGCAGAGAGACGGCTTTTTTGTAACCGCCACAGAAGACACCATCTGGAAGCTGTAGACAATACCATAAGATATCAGGCAATGTTAAATTTAATCAAACCTTTTTACACTACGTTGTTCAATGCGTTCGCAGAATTAAGGCATATGCAAAGAGAGAAAGAAATGAAGGAGACGTGAAGATGTTGAGGAGCTGGGCATACGAGTTGCTACCCTTTGCAGGTGGCAGAAAATTAAACAATAAAAAAACCCAGAGGTAGACAGGGAGCAGGCTCTTATTATCTTCGATTGCTCCCTTCTAACAGTCTTAGACTGTTAAGAAGTGCCAGTGCTTCGGAGAAGTTAATAAGATTCTGCAGCGACAAACGTGTCCTGGTCTTGTACAATAGAAAGTGGTTGTAAAAATATTTGGTTTTCACGTGCTAAGTAGTTCGAAAAAATAAATATATAAGTGCACTCAGGCGACAAATTACCTGCAGAAGGTCATCGTGGATGTGGTCTCCAAAAGCACCGAAATCGAATATGTTAATTTCAATGTCGTCGTCATCTTCACTGTTGGTATATCGTATGTGAACAGACACGGGTGCCTGCATGGTCCCGGTGGTAGATCCCCATGAACGTGCTAAATCATCGTGAAAAAAGTAAAAAAAAGCCATACATGGTGTCAGTGAATGCTTCAACCTAAAATTTCTTTGAAAACAATCATTGTTCATGTTAACTGCACGTATTGATAACAGCGTGTTTTCAGAACAACTCTACTCCCTAGGAACAACTTATTGCTTTTGAAGAGAAAGTGAGCACTAATATAACAATGGCAAAAAAATGCGCACACAAACATGAAAGAAAGCTTCATGATTAAGTTCGAAGACTTTTGGGTTTCTCACGTACACACGCTACTTTCGAAAAACAGTGTGCGCGACTGCAGGGGCACAAACGTGCGAGTCCTTTTGTTCATGTGTGTTTAGAAAAGTGGTTAACGATTTAGAGCAGTCCTTTTGTTCACAGAAAGTGTGCACGATTTATTGTTCACGAAAGCAATTTCACTCAACACACTAACGGTAGCTATCGTGAGGAAAAGACCTCCAAGCTTGCTCACAGTTGGTTCGCAGATATTGCCTAGAGAACGAGTTAAAATTAGGAGCAAGGGTAATTTATATGCACTACAACAAAATTCTTCCAACTTCTCCAGATTTTTCTAAATAAACATCTTAAAACTAGTGACAGGTATGCATTAATAAATGTTCATGACGAATGTTTTCTTTCTTCCCGAATAAAGTGTTGTATCTCTTTTGCAAAGCTTATCGCTCTAGATAACATTCATTGTTATCCATGCTTGTTCACGTGTTCCTGAATATTCGAGACTCCAATTGAGCGCTCGTCACCTAGCGGCCGCGCCTGGAAACGGCGATAACAGGGTCATCGTAGAAAACAGACTTGTGACGACGTTGCGCGTGTTGAGACGCGGCTGAATAGTTCATTTCTTCTCGCTATGCCGCACACGTGAGCCCTAAAAAGAAGAAAGCAATATTTATAGAACATTGCAGTGTGTCGCAAAGCGTGGCATCGTGGCGGAAACATGGCAAAATATCGTTCTATCGCTTCCTGAGGGATGAAGATGACGTATGATGAAGAACGGCGCAAATTAAAAACTGACGCATTGGGAAGAAAGTGATGGACACTACGGTGGTTTGTTCGCATTAATTCGCTCATGACGGCTTGATTTTCCTTGGTTAGCAGATCATTATTAAGGTTTTCTGCTATAATAATATTATTCGGCCTTCGATTAGCGTGCGCAATAGAAGGTTTCAAGATTGCAAGCATTGTCCCCCAAAAAACTTCCGGTGACCTCATTTACCAGCTCTTAAATTCGAAATTAAAGCCCGTTTTAAGTTCCTTTTAAGAGTAAGAAATGATTTTCTTTAGTTTTTTAGATAAAAGGAACGTGCGTGAAGTTAAAAGAAATCTCTTTCAGTTTTTATGTAGCTCAAAATAACATTTATTTGAATACATTTTGCCAAATAGGAAAAAGGAAGTGTAAAAAAATTACCCCGAATCTGCATGGTACAATGCATATGTCATCGAAAGACGATATATTCTTACGTCTGGAGAGAGTGAACAAAACGTTTATATATTGTTCTGCGCAAGAAAATTGGTGAATGGTATTCTGGAGGCACTGCGTTAGTGCCTCGAGCGTGTAGCGGAGGCGAACGAGTGCATCGAGGCACGTTAGACACGAGCGCCATCTGGCAGTTCGAAAACGATGGAAGGCGGGTGCGCCCGCGGAAAAAGATGCGCGCTTTACTCGGAGGTGATAAGGTGTAGAACGCAAAGCGACGGGCAGGTGCCACCACCGGGTCGTCTTAGCAAAGCGTTGGAAGCGCTTACCTTTTTGAGCATCGCGTTGTACTGTCAGTGCAGCGTGATAACCACTACGGTCCTTAGAATTGCTTGGGTGTGCCTTCTCTAGTATAAAGGCACACATAAAAAACATCAACGTGTTGTTATGGTGCATCAGATATGCGCAATAATTACTTTTTACTTGACAATTGCAAAAATATGAACGCTGAATCTTCAGAAATACTGGTGGACGCTGCGGATAGGGTTGGCCGTTTGGTGCCGTTCGAGGTATCAGTAAGGGCGGAAATACAGACAATAAACAGACAGACAGATAGACCAAAAGTTTTCCGTCGAAGGTCCCCAAAGAAAGACTATCGTCTTTAAAAACCAGTGGGCTATCTTTTAAAGCTCTTCTTGACCACCGGTGCTATTAGAGCACAATGGTGGACGAAACCAGATGTCATCAAAGGGCTGTGTTTTCGAACAGTTAAAGGGTTATGGCTTCGTTTATATAAGTAAGCGCTATAGAAAATGTCTTGCGATACGTGTTTGTACGTTTAGCATATGCTTCTTTTCTGTGCAAGTACGTAATGAGGAGGAAAGTTTAAGCGGAAGGACAGGGAGGTTAGCCATTTCTTAGACCGGCTGGCTACCCTGTGCTGGGGAAAGGAGTGAGGGGAATAAAAGACGATAAAAAGAAATGTTGCGAAAAGAGAAAGAAAGAAATTACAAAAAAAGGGACGGAGGAAAAAGGCAACATCAAAGAGTATGAGACACTAAAGTCTGTCTCTGAGGCCAGTTGTCCACAAAAAGCGCAGCAAAGCTTTCAAAGCCTTCTGGGTTGAGGATGAGCTCGGCCAATGACACAGAATCCTTTGTTCCGACAAAGGCCGATCATGCAGTCTATCCATAGCTGCAGTAAGTTCTTGTCTTGGCGCGCTGAATTGGGTGCACTCACATAGAAGGTGTGCGATGGTTTCTTCGCAGCTGCAGTAAGTACATTGTTGCGAAGCGTGTCTCCGACGACGTTACGAAGGGAGCCACGAATCTCACCGCTGCAACCACTGTTTCGAAAGACGGCGACGCCAACACGGTCCCGAAGGCGCCACTGCTTCGAACTCCGCCGGGACGGTCCCCAGCCGTTTGGTAGCGTAGGTTTCTCAGCTCGCGACTGCTTCTGCGCAGGGCTGATAGACGAGCGGACGATACGACGGTGAGTTAAACAAGGTTTATGTATGGCATATATACAGAGGCGTTACAAATTCGGCACTGGGGCCGACAGCTTAGAGACCCGAAGAGCCGAGCTCTCCTCTCTAACACATAGCTCAACTAACACATAGCTCAACTGCTTGCGACGCGCCGCAGGGGTTCTTTTATATGCACTGGGTGGATTCTTTGAGGAACCAAATGTCCAACCAGAAGCGCCGCTGGTCGTGAGGTCAGAGTCCTCCAATGGGGTCGCCGCTGGGCCGCGTCATTCTCATCGAATCTGGAGAGGCTGCGCTGCAGGTGGCTGCACCCAAGGACGAGTGACGTTGCCACGCATTGCGCCAGACCCGCCAGACAGGAAGGCGCCGGTTGCTTGCTCGACGGGCTCGCTGGCTGAGGTGACTCACTGTGCGTGCGCGGCAGAGAGGCACCGCCGCGTGTTGACGCCGTTGAGTTGTTCGCGTCAGGCGGGCTCACGTGCTTGCCTTGACACAGGTTGCCTTTTTCAGAGGCATAGACGTTCGCTGTGGACTCGCAGGCATAACAGCACCCCCGCCGCCAGACAATGCGCCGGAAAGATAAGCTGCTTCTACGTGGCTTGGATGTCAGGTGCGCTCGTTCGCCAGGTCCCTCCAGGTTCACCTCCAGGGCCATGGGGAGAATGCAGCTCCAGACTCTGTTCCGGGAACACATCCCATTCTTGAGGACGGATCCCAAATCCACTGGCTTGTCGCCACAACTTGTCGACCAGCTTTGCTCGTCTCCTCTGACGATCCTTGGTTTCAGCACTTGTCGATGGTTCTGCAACTTGTCAAGAACGGTTCGACAACAGACAACACACGGCACAAGCAAGTGCCCTCGGTCACCCAACAGAACACCAGACAAAGTATAGTACAACATATACCTAGCTACGTGTCTATCGGAGTTTCGTTCCTTCTACATCAATGGGCACATGTGGGACACAAGACTCTTAAAATGACAACTCAAATTTTTACACGTAGAACAACGTAACGAATTAGAATACAACATAAAGGTGGCTCTTTGAGCTCACTCTGGACGAGAGCGCTCCGCTCAGGTCGTGATGAGGTCAAAATTTTGCCCCAAATCGCCAGCGAGAAACCGAAAGGTGGAGAAGGTACTAACTAAACGCACGGCTCAATGCGTCTGCATTAGCGTTTAGCTTTCCTTTTTTTATAGCGAACGTCAAAGTTGCGCTGTCGGAGTATCACGCTCCATCTCAGAAACCGGCCATTTTTAGGCGACGATACCTATGCGGTACCAAGAGCGGCTCATACTTGCGACGTTGCAGAGGGGAACAACGATACGGCTTGCTAGGGATTGGCTCCTCACAAGTTAGCTCGATATCGTGTTCTGTCACCGTCGTGTTTCTGGGACGGTCCGAAAACACGTATCCAAACTCGGAAACAATCCTTTTCAGGTCCTCCTTCTGGACTTCACTTAACCTAGGCTCTAGGTTCAACTGCTCCAAGATTACCTCCGATTTCCTTTCGATTACCTCACTAGAACTAAAAATTTCTGCTCCCTCTTCCTCTGAAGCATTCAACAGCAGATTTACGACCACTTGACGTTGAACGTATGGTTTTATCAAGTTGTAAACTTTGTCCGGCTGCCTTCTTAATTTCACTTCATAATTGGTATCAGGAAGCTTAATGGGTGCCTTCCACTTGTCCGTGAATTTCCCCGCTCTCTGAAAAGTGTCGCATGAGCGTACAAAGTCTTCGATATCCTTCCAGCATTTCGGCCAATAAAACTCAAGGGAAACTCTAGCCTTGGTCTTTTTTATGCCGAGATGCCCTGCTCATGCGTTTTCATGCGCCAGTTCTAATAGTTGGCGACGATACTTTTGTGGCACCATGAGCTGCTCATACTTGCGACCTTGCGCATTTGTGTAGCTCCGATACAAAAGCCCTGCTTTCTCAAAAAAAGAAACATTCTTTTTCTTTTTTCCCAAGTTTACGCTTTCAATTAGCGCTTTAATCGAGAGGTCCTCACGCTGCTCTCGCATGAGCGTTTCTTGATCAACCCTCGACAGCTCACTCCAACGTTCCGCTACAG